ATGACAAAGATGATGATGATGAGAAGAAGAAAGGCTCAGAGGGGATCGAGCAAATTGGCTTTAATCATCCTTCGATGCCCGGGCACCTTCCTTCACCTGGTACCTACCTACCAACCTTACCTTAGTACTATGAACAGGAGATTGATGGGGGCAGTTACAGATGATTTCACGGGGGGTCAGAATGGAAGTTGACGCTCCCGTCCTGGGTTGTCATCTGCAACTTCCTCAATACCTTAGGTATTGAGGGAGGCACCACCTAGGACTGAGTTGCCCTCAACATTCTGGTTGTTGCATTAATAAGGTATCTGCATGCTGTTTTGTGGTGCTGAAGTTTCTCCAATTGGATGCCTGTGATCGTTATTTGTCCCGATGAAGCGAGGAATTCCTCCCAGGCAGGGGGTTTCTATGCTTTTGGAGTTGAGATACCTTGCTGTTTTCGGCCATTTCACTACAGAACCTGTCTGCAACTTAGGTTCAGGGCATGGGAGGCGATCGTGATGAAGGTATACGAGGAGAAATTTTACCTTGGAGGTACTAAGGCAAGCAACAAACGCCCTTTGAAGGCAGCCGTACCTACCTATACTCAATATCTACGGCAGGCGGTTCCAATCACGTGTGAGAGGACTTGTAGGAAAGTTCAACATCAGTCTGTAAGCGCTATGTAGACCATGCAAATGCGACTCAGCGAGAGATGCTTAGGTAGGCCGAACAAGCAAAAGGCCCCCAGCACACAATGGTCAGCCAGCACCTTCTAACGGGTATATTGCCATAATTCCTTAAAACTGAAAGCCAAAGACCTGGATACATTGCAACTCCGTCTATACATGTTTTACAACCCATCTCAGCGCAATTCAACCGAGGGAAAGTAGCGAGGTCCTGCAAAACCTCGAGCCAAGACAGACTGTATATCAATATTACTCGTGGGATCGTGATGGGAGCTCCACATCTTGAGAAGTATAAATCGACCTGATATAGGGGGGTCGAAGCGAATTGTGCATTTGCTCTTCTTCTTCTCTATGTTGAAACGGGCATGTGGAGAGAGCAGTTGGCCACCACCAACGGCTCGAACGGCGTCTTGCGTAGCAGAGGCGTGAGCTTCCCAAGCTTCTGTCAGGGAAAAAGATCGGTTGGAGCGATCGTAATCGCGATCCCGATCCCGCTCTCTTTCTCTTTCCCTCTCTCTTTCGCGGCGGCGCGAATATGGAGGATCAAACCCTGGGCCGCTGGTATTAGCAGCACTACTGTAGAGGCGCCAGTGGGAGGGATGGTGGTCATCGAGATATTCGGGATCAAAGGGGTTACCGCCATCATCAGAGTCAGAGTCGAGGGTTTCGAAGGGGAGGGAGCCGATGCGGTTCGGCGCACGGCGTAGGAAACGAGGGCCGTCAAAGTCGTCGTCTTCATCGTCGCTGCACTCAGTAGTGACTTGGAAGTCGGGTAGGTTGGAGGCAAACTCTTCAGGCATCTGTGGTGTCCGCGTTTCGTGATCATCGGCGTTGGTGCGGTAGGGGTATGCTGGCCGAGACCTCGTGGTCGTAGTGCCATTCTCATGGTGCTGTACTGATATTATTTCAGTTGGGATGGGCTGAAGAACTCTCGAGTCGCCGTCATGAGTTGGTTCATTCGTTGGCTGTGCATATTGAATTTGGTACTGGGCCGTCCGGTTCAGCACTTCGTCTTGGCTCATAGCCACAAAGACCATTCCCTCTCTCACTCTGTTGCAGAATTAGCCATGTTGTCCGGATCATGCCGTGGTGCATGGGACAACATACGGATGTGAATAGTTGGACGGCGCAGGCGCCTTTATGACCAGCTCCTGGAGAGTAAAAACGGTGCCACCCTGATGTCTCAATACTATGTTGCATCTGTTTCCCTTTGTACAATACACCGAGGTGTCGTTTTTGAGGATATTCTCAGCGGCGTATGATAACTCATTGGAGAACATGCCTCCGTCACAGCTGACGATCTCCATCTTGAGGTCTCCTTGCTCGACCTGGCCATACTTGCCATAACGAAAGCCTCGTAAGGCCGGCGCGAGACGATCGGAATCCAGCTTCCGGCGCTTGTGCCGTCGATTCGAGTCAGGGAGATCTGAGGGGCGGAGTGAAGGAGAGAAGTTGGGCGGCATGAGCGGAGGGGTAAGGCTCGGGTGGTGCTGGAGATCGAGAAGGGCCCGCAGGTGCGAGTTGGCTTCCTCGAGGTGTCGATCGAGGTCTTCGAGATTGGAGGGTCTGGTGTTCTCGGTGGCGGCGGCAGCCCGCATGCGGTCCGTACGTCGAGAAGTCGGCCAGCCGTCATCCATGGGCCGTTCGAAGTCGTCAAAGCCAGAGCCGGGACCCGGCGCTCTGTTCTCCAGGTTCCGGATGCGGTCGGCGCGGCGTGAAGCGGCTGACCAATGCCGGGACTGAGGGCGGTTAGAGGATGTCGGCGAGGGGCTGTCTCGGTCACGATCTCGCTGGGCGTGGGCGAGGGCTCTCAGAGAAGGCAGTCGAGGCGGTATGGGAAGCGGTGGAAAGTCGTCGAGGGGTTCTCGTGAATGGCGACGGTGGGAGTTTGAACCCGACCGGCCAGACATTTTGTATGTATACGTATTTGTATGTATGAACTTAATGGGGGGTTTCACTAGTCGGTGGGCGGTTATGGCTATCGATATGGCTCTGACTCTGACTCTGACTGTGGATGTGGATGTGGATGTGAGTTATGACGTGGGGTTGAACTGAAGCGAAGCGAAGAGGCTAGAGGGATGGCCGCTGATGGTCCCGTCTTTTGTCAGATAAAATGTGACCAAAATAGCAATGATGATGATTTGGAGAGTGGTCGTTAATCGTTGTCGTCCAAGGGACAGCAGTCAAGCAGTATTGGCGCACGGTACACGGTACACCTTACTCGCTAGGAGTAAACTCGTTGGCCTCGCCGTGAGTTGAGTGAGAAGAACCCCCGAATCACAGCCTGATTGTGGTGTCTTCTCGATGGCGACAATCAATGGTTGAGCAACAGGCTAGGTAGGGATTGGATACTGTGCGAATGACTCTGCCGTGGGGGGTTTTATGTCAGTCAATCATTGGCCTTTGCTTTTCGCTGAGCCGCCCTACCTGTCACTTAAGTCATGCTCATCCTTAACATAGGTAGGCAATACAGGTGTTATGCGCCTTTTTTCTGTATGTATTTATGCTCTCTGCCTTGCAGTTTTTTCTCTTGCTGTCAAGGTTGTCTCCCAGCCCAAGGTCAGGCGTACCACGGCACATGAGCCGTGACTGAGTAAAAGTCGCCGTTCGTTGGCGGGGGCGAGCGGAGAGACGGCGTGGTAGCAGAGACGCCAGGAAAGATGGATATTCGTCGATAGCTAAACTTGGCGGTAGCGGTGAGATATTGCAGCAAATATTGAGCTAGATACGGAAGGCCTTAGGAGAAAGCGAACAGATCTGTTGTAACTTGTGAGAGGTGATAGTTGTAAAGAAGTGACAGAGCCAGGGCTGGACTGGGCTGGGCTGGGCCGACTGACCTTTTGAGCCATGCATGATGGATGGTAAGGTATGGGGGATAATAAAAGCGGTAAAAGCCACATCAAGGGATATGCCACAATGGTGAGTCCCAGCACTGTATCCGTTCGTCCAGAAGCTCAACTCGAGCAAAGTCCAGGTTCTTATGTGCACTGTAGTCAGGTTGTCGGTAGTGAGAAACCACTGTAGAACCCCTGGTCTGGTGTTGCAGCATGGCTGAACTCGTACCAATTAGGTGTAACATTGTGCGAGTATCATGCTGTATTCATTCAACTATCAGGGCAAATGGCAAACGGCCCAAAGCAAATGGTGACCTGTCAATCACATACCTTGTGCCTTCTTGGTTGTTCATTGAACCGAATGCGTGAAGCATGCACCTGATTAGTCACTTGCCTATGAATACTACAAAGTTCTTTTTTAGTGACGGGCATCTTCCTTTCAGTCTGGGAAGAAACAGAAGAGGAGATACTTCTTAGATACCCCGTATCATCCCCCTGCAGCCTGTACGTGATATGCTTGCATCAAGTAGACTGAACGCAAGTCATGTCCCTGCAACACCAACTTCTTGACCCAGTTAGCCTCGTTCTCTCTATAAGGAAGGTCATGATATATCCAAAACCGTATAGTTAGTTGCTGTAAGTAAGCCTGGTAAGGAAGTCTTTGTTGGTTGAAGGCGATTAGTACTCGACCCTTTATGCCTACGATCGAGTTCCCGCCTGTCGGGACGAAATGATGTGGTTTCGATTCAACAAATAGCCACGACCTGCATTGAAATTTGAGCAAACTCCAGTTATTTATCTAAGATGCAGTAGATGAGTGGAGTTTGTTTCACCTGCAGCATACCTACCTGGTACTTGCAGAGGCATACTCTGCGTTCTTCACTGTAAATTCAGGCATCTCTTGGTAAAATCTTGACATTACCTGATTCTTGGGTCATGCATCGCCTTACAGCAGCAGCCTTGAAATAGGTTCCCCAGAGCGGTAGGTACCTACAGTACAGAACGTAAGGCACCCGACCTTACCCATGTCGATCTCACTAACAATTTCATACAGCCAATCATTGCAGAGCTATCTAGTCCAGCTCACTCACTAAACAACTTCCAGGTTTAGAACTCCTTGCGTGAAAGCCAAAGCCAACATTCGACCACTCAAGTTGTGATAGGCATCTTCAGCCTCTTTTTAGCAATCAATCAAACAAACAAGACGAGACAGGACAGGACAGGACAGGACATACCTACCTACCCGTGGTCCTCTCTCAGGTGGATTCTCGCGCCGTAGATGAAAGGTGCTTTTGTTGACCGAGAGAAGCTGAATCTCACCCAGCAGGCTGGGCCTTTTCTATCACGCGTCTTGGCCTCGTCTCATCCATAACAAGCCCTCTGCGATATCACTCCTCGGCCTTTCAGCATTGCGCTGCGATTAACCACAATCTCGGCACTTCGTTCGCTTGGCTACATCTCGTTCACTACATCCTTCGACTTCACCCCAAATCTATCTGCGATGGACAACTCGAACCAGGATCAAGGCCAGCCTCAAGCTGAGCCCCAAGCACAACAACTCCCGAATGCTTCAGCGCAAGAGGTCATTCCTCATATCGATGCCAGCGCTAACATCAACGTCAACGGCAATGGCATTCCCCAACTACCAGAGAATCTCCTCAACCCAATGAACCCTCAGGCGCTGAGCATGCTGGCCGATCCCTCACTCATGGCTGATCCTTCTATGATGGCCATGCAGATGCCCCTGGCTGATCCTTCATTCATGATGCAACCTGGGCTGGCCTTGCCAAATGGCCAGAACGGCTTCAGTCTTCCCGTCGCTCCCCCTGCCACTGTCAGCGCTGGTAAGTTCTGCTCGCCCAAATCGTATCTCAGCATATCATTTCTAACATTCGCCAGATGAGGTCGCTTTGTATGACCGTCAGATCCGCCTCTGGGGCATGGCCGCACAGGCAAAGATCCAAAGCGCAAATATCCTTCTCATCACCATCAAGGCCCTCGCCAATGAAATCGCAAAGAATCTTGTCCTTGCCGGTGTTGGCTCTCTCACTCTCCTAGACAGTGCTACCGTTACCGAAGCAGACCGAGGCGCCCAATTCTTCATCCCTGATGGTGAAGATGTCATCGGACAGAACCGCGCTCAAGTCGCCAGCACCGCTCTGCAGAAGCTCAACCCCCGTGTTCGTGTTCACGTCGATACAGAAGGTGTCAAGACCAAGGGACCAAGCTACTTTGCTGCCTATGATATTGTCATCGCCACTGACCTTGACCCTGAGTCTTTCAATATCATCAACACTGCCACGCGCCTGAACTGCAAGGCTTTCTACGCTGCCGGTTGTCATGGCCTCTATGGTTTTATCTTCAGCGATCTCATCGAACACGACTATGTAATCCAGCGTGACCTGGGTAACATGCCCACTTCCATTGGCCCAGAGTCTCGTACTCGCACTATCGTTGATGTCCAGACTCGAAAGGAGGGTCCCAAAACAATTGAGTCTGTCACCAAGCGCGAGCTCTACTCTACATGGTTCCTCGCCAGTGACCTTGCTGTTCTTCCTACTGAGTACACCCAATCCAAGCGACGACTCAAGAGTGTCACTCCCGCCCTTTCTTGTCTCCGCGCTCTTTGGGAGTTCATGCAGATCCAGAACGGCCGAGTCCCCAGCAATCGCGATGACCTTAAGCTGTTCACGCAGATCGCCACTCAGAAGCACAAGGCTCTCGGCCTGCCCAGTGAAACTCTCCGCCCCGAGTTTCTGCGCAGCTTCCTTCAGAACCTCGTCAGCGAAATCTCTCCTGTTGCCGCCATCCTCGGTGGTCAACTTGCCCAGGACGTCATCAACGTCCTCGGACAAACCCAACAGCCTATCCAGAACATGATTGTCTTTGACGGCACAACCATGGAGGCACTCATGTACCCTCTGCACCCAGAAGGCTCACTCGGGGCATCACAACTCACCGACCATACTGTCCCCAATGGCGGTGCGCCTATGATTCTGGGTGGCATGGATGCTCTGCCTTTGGGTCTTGATCCAGCTGCCCTGGGCGCTCTACCTCACCATAATAACCCCATCATGATTCCTACTGGCCTCCCTCAGAATGGCAATCTTATTCCTATGCCCGACGGCTCCCTAGCCGATCCTACACAGCATTTCAATGCCGCAACGCAGGTGCCTCAGCAGCCTGTCCAAGGACACACGGCTCAGATGACAGCTGAACAGCCCACTCAGGCGACACCGGCAAACGCCGGTGCCTCGGAATCGAAGGAGTAGACTAGCTATATCACCGAGATGCATCTAGAAGGACTTATCACAGTGATTTGAGAATTGGACGGGGCACTGAAGGGGGCTAGGCATTTTGCCCGTACTATGTTGTAATTTAGGTCCGATCTCGAAAGTCAATAGAAGACTCCAACTAGGGGGGCAGAGGGTTTGGGGATAGACGATAACTCTGTATACTAATTAAGACAACTCACGCATGACACGCAAGGGGGCCAGGAAAGATTTGATGCAATAATGAATATTCGGTTGTTTCTCCAAGCCAAACATCCCAGCTAGAATTCCGGACTTGACATATCACAATTGCAATCACAACAGTCACTCGATTATCGCAGTGCTTTCAGCTTCTTGACTCTATTGTGCTCTACCAACATAGGTAAGCAGACCTAGCTAATATATAATGGGACATGATCGCGTTGCCCTGATACTTTTGTATTCCTGTACCCTGCCAAAAAGAAAACCATGATTGCCTTGTCGTCACCTCGTTCTTCTCCTTGAGAGACGGGTATCGGCCCCTTTTATTGCATTCAAAGGGACTGCAAGCGAAAGCCATTTGTGATTCGCGTCCAATTCGCACTCGTTTCATGTAGCAAAGTAGGAAGCCAAATGTCGAAAACAATGTCGCATGTAAAGTCAAAAGAACGCAATGCATATTATCTGCCTCTCTATTCCGGGGGCATGCTTGCCTAACGCCGCCGATGCGAATAAAATAGGGACTATGCCCTCATCGAAAACCATTAAATCAGTATATGATAAGACCGACTTTTGGGGTATAAGTATTGGGTATCGTAACAGCTGAGCTGCGGTAGTAATATGAAAGAAACAGCGGGTGGACATTATCAGCTGTCGCTGAGCATGACCGTGCTTCTCGAGGTGCAGAGTTCTACTATGAACTCTCGTCAGTGCTGTCAATAGTAATGACTTTTCGCTGACTCTTAATGATTTGAACATCATCGGAAGATTCGCCCTTAACTCGAGGTTCTTTGGCGGATGAGAGATTGCCCTTTGACGTCGTAGACTCCACATCTTGGTCACTCGTCTTGTTGGAAGTGCTGGAACGGACGATCTTGATCTTCGTCTTCGCCGCAGTCTCCTTGGTCTTAGTGGCCTCGACAGTCTTGCTCTTACGCGATTGAGCGACTCTCGGCTTCTTCGCCGGCGCAGCTTTGGTTGCAATGGGTTCAGCCTCAGTGGTCTTGGGCTTCCTAGGGCGCAGTCGTCGCTTGAGCGAATTGTCATCCTCCTCAATCACCACGGCAACATCGTCACTCTTCTTGGATTTCTTAGCTGGAGGCTCAACTGCGACAACATCATCGTCTGGTTGCGTGTCAGAATGCTTGCGTTTGTTCAGCTTCTGTGCCGTAGGTGGCACGCCAATAGCAGGCTCGACGAATCGGACGGACTTGTAGGGCCGCGCAGGCTTAGCTTGCTCATCTGCCTTGGATGAAGAGTCGTCACCATTCTATCGCGAGTCTTCTCTATCTTGGCCAGGCTCACCCCGCTCTTTGCCGCTTCGCTTGCGCGTTTGGTTTACGCTCCATCCTCTAATCTGGGTCGGCCCAGAGCTGGGCAGAGCCGCGGCAGAGCCAGTCTCCTTGTGGTCGTATGGAATGGTCTTCAGTTCGGGCTTATTCGGCCACGCTCGGTGCGCGGGAACGGGGGCGGGTTGAAGCTTTCGATACTTGTTCCCAGCGTCAGACGACCCTGAAGGGGTGGATCGATGACCATGGATCGAACTGGGAAGACCCTGAGGATTGTCTTGGGGGCTTTGAGCCATGTGAGGGGGCATAGGAGGGGGGTTCGCATACGTTGGAGATAGTACTTGATGAGCATAGCCTTGGTGAGGCGAGGTCATATAACCTTGCCCAGCAGTCTGCGGGTTTGGCAGAATTCGATCAGTCGCAATCGGCTGAAGTGGTGGTTGCCCATGTGGCTCAGGGCCAGGGTATCCTCGGTGATAAGAGCGAGGAGGACCGGGCGGGTAGTAAGAACCGGATGATCGTAAGCTAGGTTCCAGCAGTGCCTCATCCTGAAGAGACTGATTACGTCCTCGCGAAGGTCGCAGAGGGGGTAGAGGCTCGGCGCTGCCATTGTGAGAAAACGGGATCCGCGCGGAGGGAGGAGCTGGAGATGAATAGTGAGACGATACTGGGCCAGGTGCTGGTCCGGGAGGTCCGGGAGGTCCGGGAGGAGCATTTGAAGGCCCGGCAGGTGCTGGTCCTGGGGGAGGAGGCTGCGACCAGTATGCACGAGAGTAGCTGGGCTCGGGGGCACCATAGATACTCATACGGCGCGGAGAGTACCCGGGATCGATAGGACGGCCGGCAGCCATCTGAGCATCACGGGGGTCTGTGTTCGGGTAGGTGCTATGTGATAGGTATGCCCCCTGATCCTGAACTGGAGGGCCCTGAGATGGGTGTGGGGGAGCGTAATCCGGATGTCGCACTGGCGGGTGCTGTGAAACATTGTGTTCCTGGATAGGTGGATAGGCCATGAGTTCACCAGGATGACCATGCACTGGGCCGCTTGGTTGCATTGACATGTGCGCGCGGGGCTGGTGCATGTACCCTTGGGGAACCTCGACAGGGCTGGGATTGTATCGAGGATCAATCGGGGCCTGGCTTGGGGTGACAGGCGGGAGCTCGTTAGTCTGGGAGACGGAGCTTCGGGGGTCATGTTCAAGCATTCCATGAGAAGGAACGGGGCCAGGTCCCATGCCGTTCGGCGCGGCATCACGGTAGGATGATTGTTCCTGAGTACCATATGGCTCAAGCATGGGAGGTGCTTCGGGGACAGATGCTGGCTCATAGCTCATGGCAAGTTCGGTTGCTGGGGCAGTGTCGTAGACTGCTTCGGTCTCTCGGATAGCAGCGGATTCGTTGGAAGTGCTTACAACATTGCTCAAGGTAGCCAAAGCATCGAGGCCAACGCTGGAACTGGTGTCGGGCGTAGGAGCAGGAGCAGGCTTTGAGTCAGTGAAGACATCACGAATAGCGTCGTAGCGAGCTGGCTTAGGCACAGGCTTGGGAGCCTTGTTCGATACTTCAGTCTCAAGAAAAGCACCAGCATATGCAAGGACGGCGAGGTTAGTGAATCCAGTCTCGGGTTGAGGGTCTTCGGCGTCCTCTCTTTCGGGCTCTTGTTCCTCACTTTCTGGCTCTTGCGACTCAGAAGCGACTCGACTGACAACAGGTCTAGCTTGAAGCTCCTTGGCGGCAGTGCCTAAAGATCTGCTTCGCAAAACCTCAACAGAACGAACATATTCGGATATAGAGATCTCTTCAGGGTCGACTTCTTCGAGTTTGCAAAATCGTCTCATCGAAGCACCAATCTTGGCGCGGTACGGGTTATCATCCGAGCGACGGTGGTTGGTAGTCTTGAGGAATGACCGTGAAGCATGAGCAATCCGACCCGAAGGGTTGGCAATATAGACAACAGGCTTCCCTGGCATGACATGTGGAGTCTTCTCTACCTCGGGAACGGGTGCATCTTTCATGATAACACCATACTTAGGGTGCACACCGAAGCGCTTGACCGTGTCTTGATCAAAATCTTCGGGAACTGTAGTTGAAAAGTCGTAGCCATTGCACCAATGATCGACGTGAAGGCCGTTGCTGTTAGGAGTGTTGAGGTACTTGCCACGCTTTGCGTGCGTATGACCCTTGCTAGAGTCATTCGTGGAGTCCCTGAAGCCTATTTCCCAGTCATTGAACTCAAAGGTTTTAGGGCAGTAAAGGCGACTATTGATGCCCTTTTCTCGCATAGATGGCTTCTGGTTATATACGCGGTAGCCCCACTGATCTTCATCGCCCATATTCTTTGGCAATGGGGGGCTTCTTTCACGAGCAGGCAATTTACTTTGAGCCCGAGCAGCGGCTGCGGGAGTGATGCCATTGACAAGAGCGGGAGGCTCTGGAGTCCCTGGTGCTGATTCCGATTCAGCTGGCGTGCCCTCAGGCGTCGCCTCGGCTTCAGCAGCAGAAGCGAGAAGACCCTTGGCAGGAGCGGGAGCAGCAACAGATGCGCCATCATCAGCGTTGCTTCTGGTGTTCTTCTTGGGAGTAGGTTGACCGTCTGGTTGGTCTTGGGCTCTGCGTTTGTTGACACCACGGCCACGGCCACGGCCCTTTGAAGAAGCGGTGGTGGCGGTTGTAACTGCAGCTGTGGCAGCCGCTTCGTTCTCGCGTCCCTTTCGCCACATGGAAGTGCCTTGGACACGAGAAGGATAAGGGACGAGATGGCCATCTTGGTAGCACTCGTAGATTCCAAATTCTTCGTCCAAATGCTCGTCGCTGATGACCTTGTACTCGTACTGATCATCGGCAATCTGCGTTGTGCGTGTCAGCTGTTGCGCCCCCAATTACCGTAACGGGTAGATAATCAATTGAGGTTGGGGAAAGACAAGTGGTGAAAAAAGGTAGAGTAGAGGCAGAAAAGTATGAAGGAAAACTCTGACTTACATCTACGGGAAGGTTCTTGTCATACAAGGACTTAAGAATTCGAGCACGGTTCTCTTGAGATTCGTAGAACTGTTCTTCAATCTCATCGAGACCATTCTGTGGGGTGGTTGTGTGAGTAAATTGCCAAGAGCCTCATAGTAATATCGGGTACGGGACTGGGTCACGTCAGAGGAGAGCGACATACCTGGAATTCTTGTTCAGCGACGTAATTGTCGGCTTCATGCAAATGCTGGGCGAGCTGGAGGTCTCTGTCCAGACGACGCTTGTGCTCGGCGAGTTTGGCATCGAGGTTTGCTTGGAGCTCCTCCATGGCAGGTATGAATTCCTGAACAAGTTTATACTTGTCTGGATTTTGAAGAGCATCGTCAATGGTGCGTTCAGCCAGCTCTTGCAGGGCGGGCTTCAGCGCGTGAGCAACAGCTTGGTAATTTGCTTTGAGATGCCGTTGACGCTCATAAGCAGCCTGTACGCGCGAATCGGCAAAGTTCTTTGCTCGGCCTCGTCGTGAGCCACCACGGCCAGCCTTTGCAGTAG